TCCGAAGGAATATGGAAGAGTGTCAAGGCCAACAAAGGCGACCAGCAAAGCTGGCACCAGAGAGTCTGTAGACCCGGCTATGGTGGCGTACACTGCAGACAAGAAAAACATTCCACCAAAATTCCCCACCAAAGGTATAAACAGAAGAATAACTCCTGCCACCACGGTCGAAAGTATGTATCCAGTCAATCGGTGATACTCGTTTGGGATTCGATGGAATAATAGTCCGACGAATATTCTTCCAGCGGTATCAGTCACACCCATTATTGATAGAATGAAGGCAGACTGTTCTTCTTTAATCCCGAGCGTTAGAGCAAACGATTGGAAGTAGATGAATGGAAGCTGATATCCGACGCAGATTAGAAAATTTGAAAGACAAAACAAGACGAAGAATGAATTTTTAAACAGCTGCATGATAATGAACACATGGCCAAATCTATTCTTCAACATCAACATGAATCTTGTTTTTCGACTGGGTATAAGAGGACCACTGAACTCTTCAGGCTTACTGGCCTCCTTTTGACCAAACTGCTCCAGAGCTGAGATGCTGTTGTATGTGTCATTTACGCTAATGACAGAGTGATTTGCAGCCGAAGCTTCTTTATTCTTAGGACCATCTTGTGTGTCAGTTGTAACGCTAATGGTCTGACAACTTGGTGTTCTCATTGAGCTGGAGTACGACTCCTCAATCGCTGACAGTGAAAGAGCTGATGTCTTTCTACCAACAGCACGACCAGTACCTGACACAACCCGATCTTTGCGGGAGGTTGGAATTCCAAATCGAATGCTGCGCCGCTCCCATTTTTCAACACAGTTCATCGCATGATCGGTAATTATTTTCTCTTCATTGTTTGTCTTTTTGCATGGGCTCTCGGGACCATTCATATCTTTGTTAGGTTCTTTAGTTTCTTCTTCAATGGCAAATATTTCTTCCGTGGGCATGTACTTTAGGTTTCTGGGCCCACTTTCTTCGAATATTATACTGGAAGCTGAGAGTACAGGGAAGCCAAGACAGCTTCCTTTAATCATCAGGTCTACTGCCGTCAATCTGTCCTCCGGCAGCTTCAGCTGGTTAATCTGTGTTTTCTTTCTTCGTATTGGTACTTTCTTTGGGTCATAGATAAAACCACATATGTGTAACGTCGTCTCTAGAAAGCCTTGAAAGAAGAAAATAATGATTTATTTATGTGTTGGCTTATCGCATCATTATGATCTTTGCCGTCACATTCATCATCAGCAGCATATTCATTATGATCAATATTATATTCTCAGAATGTTCATAACGTTTTCGTTGTTGATCAGTAAACAAACACACCTAGCACGATAAATGTTTTCCTCCAACCAATACTGTCGACGAGAGCTTGGCATACAGGGGCTAGAATAAATGTACCGACACCAGAACCGGCTACGGCGATACCCGTTGCAACAGATCGACGACGCTCAAAGAATTTTCCTAGGATGACAATGCAAGGAAGATACGACAAACCGAAGCCCAAACCTAAAAGAGGAGTTGTAGTAAGTAAGTAGTAAAGTTTTTTTCACGAAAACATAACTCAACAATTTACATGCTGTTTTTTCATGGTCGTGATATAAAAGAAAACAAAATATAAATCAAATTTACAAAAAATACGATATAAAGGAAAAGCTTAATACAGTATAACGAAATATTATGAAATTTACATTATTATACAAAATAATTTATAAGATGGTGAAAGGACCCAGAGATCGTTTGCTGCGAGGTTAGTATTCTTACATTTTTGTAAAAACGGGTCCAGCATTATGTATATTGTTTTTATATACTAATAACATTATTAACATTATTTCGACGTGAGTTTGTCTCAGAAAATTATCATGGAATGATGTTTTGCCCTACCTGACGTGTTATCATACCGAATACTCAGTACCATCCCAATAAATACTTGCAAACAATTCTCAAGTTACCGTATTCAGTTAGGAATCAAACCCACGACCTCCAGATAACTAGCATGGTGCCATAACCACTAGCCTACAGAGCTTGTGCATAGTGATTAGTGAGTGTTCCGTACACTTCAGGAAGGGCAAGACATCACTCCTAGCATTATCAAATTATAATACCTTAAATCTCTTGTAAACTTGTTATATTTATAATACTGAAATATTATGAATGTTGGAGACCTACAATCTTTTTACTGTAAAAAACATAGTGCAGAGAATAATCACAAAATTATCTTACCTGTCAAACCACCATATGTTATATATAGGTACGGTAGTCCATTAGCGAATGCACTTAATACCATACCCATGGTGGCAAAGGAAGCTCCGATTAGAGTGACAATTCTTGGGCCCCACCTGCTGACCATGACGCTTGAAATCGGGCCTAATGTGAATAAGAAGAGAAAACCTTTAATTATTGATGTATAATAATACAATAAACGACATTGGTCCTTAAGGGTGATAATAAGAATGAAATGTATAGTTTCGTAGGCTACAATGACCGTACTGTACCGTACATAATGGTAATATTAAGCCTAATATTGATTATTATAATAGAATTATTTAGTGTCATCAATCACCATACTGCTATCTTTTCTGCGTGAGCTAAAATATGTACATATATATATATACATACATATATACATACAAGATCTGACGTCAGCCAAGAAGTGATTTAGCCTTTCTCAAACAAACCTGCATGTTTAACTAACAAACAAAGGCAAATGATATACGTAATTATAATGCACATTTGGAAAAATATATTTCTTCAAAATGAAATACTTCTATGCAACAAATTCCATTCACTCACCAAGCTGTCTACTTTAATCATAAACCACTACATGTATATCTTCATAATTACAGTACAAAATATTTCAAAAACATACGTACACAACAACCCTTACAACAACCATATTTCCTTTAATATCACTGTACACGACATCACACCTTTTCTAACTGTTAATGTGAACATAACAAAAAAGGTCTGTGATGATGCATATAACTTTAAACCTTTTTTTATGCTCAATACATGCTGGGGCATGTGAGGTGTTGCCCCGGGGCCCTTACTGGCTCTCGACGCCACTGACTGAGCTAAGCTTGCTCTCTGTTGCTAAATCTAATAAAATGCTGATGGCCTTATATAAAACCATAATTAGGCCCAATTTGGAGTTCTGTACAGTAATTTTTAATTTTATTTGTCCAAATCAGGCTCAGTGAATTGAACGTGTTCAGAGAAAATGTTGTAGACTTATTATTAAGAATTGTCCTATGTTATTATTAATTTACTTAGTGATCGTAGAATGCTCTCTGATATGTTTTTTTCTTTTTAAGGTAATGAATTCTGATTATGATTGTGAATTAGTTTCTATTAAATTTACATGTGCCCAGGCGTACCCGAAAAAGAGGTATTTTAAACCCACCTTTTAGTCGCGTTGATTTTACATGTAGAGGTTTATTTAAACGGTTATGTGATTGTTATAAGTTTTAAATGTCTAATATTGATACTGTATTGATTTTTTTTGACAGTTTAAATGTTTTTAAATCAAGATGTTAGTACTTTTTAATGTATTTTTATATCTATTTACATAAATATTTTATGTTTTAACTTGTTAGTGGCGGTTGTTATCGCTGTTGGTTAGTACGAATAAATAAAATAAAATAAATTTCCCCAGGAGTGGGATGAATAAGTCTCTTGTATTGTATCCTTGTATAGCCTATTGATTTATATCATAAAATTATTCTTACTCTAGGAGCCTAGGCTAGACTTGAGCTACACTTTTTTTTTATATAAGAACCAGTAAAATTTTGCCCAGGCTCAGTGTTCTTATTTTTTGGCCGATTTCAGGCTCAAAATGTTCTTATTTTGTTCTTAGTTTACACACCTTTTAAACAAAAATTATTTAATTGTACGGCAGTATGCACTGTACTGGAATGTAGGTGAAAGTGACCCCACAAAAATGGTCCCCAAATGTCAGGTATTATACTGTACTGTATTATAGAGGGTATTACAGTCACAGCTACTGCACATACGGTAATTTACAGATATAGTATTTTGGTTTTTAAAAATATAAACCTCATTTGAAATTTTGCCTCAGCCTCAATTTGATCTCATTTTTTTTTTCTTAATTTTTAAGCAATTTCAGCCTCAGTGTTCTTATAAAATGTGTTCTTTTTTTTTTTTTTTTTAAGTGTATAGCCTAATTATGAAGAATTTATGTTTTCAAGTTGAATGGCTACATGTGCCTGATCAAGAAACAAAGTAGCTAGATTTTCCCTAAAGAGTGGAGGACTATTTTTAATAACCTCTTCCCTAATTATTCTTCATTCAAGTGGCACCCATATATTATTTGGAGTATTTAAGAGGACAAGGCTAGGCCTAGGGCCTAGACTAATAACTGTACTGGCACTGTGTTTCAGTTTAATGGTATGCCTATTCCTCTATATTAATGGTTTAGGCTTATCATTACTGTGTGTAAGCTTAGGCACCATAAGCGAGAAAAGGCTACACCCCATTTAGGCTATATCTTTTTCCTGTAAAATGGTCTTCCGTTGCTGAATTTCCTTCTTTCCACCGTGTTTGCTGGCCATGGTTGGACTGTGTAGGCTTAAGTGTTCGACCCCAGGCTAGCCTTACAATGTTAATTAAACCGACTGCAAAAAACACTAGGACTATGCTATTGTTATGGTATAGAATATAGATGATCGACAGTAGCCTATTGACCTAAACCTTAAACTTAAACTTGAACAAACCTGGATTGATCTCCGAATAACTCAGCAAACCATAGCTACCCTTGTATTTTATTTTTAGTAAGATTGTTTCTTATCAAACATTATCGCCAACGGCATAACAACGCATTGCCATAGTATTGGTACGCGTTAATGCGCGCGTCTTCAAGGAATGTCGCACTTGCAACCAGTGGCGTAACGCCTATGCGCTCTCGTGCGGCGGTCAACCTGGCCCCCTGGCCCCCGATTCCTTCTAGGGGCCAAGAGGCCCCCTACCCATATGGTCCTCGATCAGCAAAAGAGCTTTGTTGATACATAACAATATGTGTCTCTGACTTCAACTGTAGGACATATATTCTATTATATCCAGTGGTGGATTAAGGGGCCCATCAATTTGTCAAATTTGGAATAGAGATAAAACAAAACAAAACAAAAATCAAATCAAATTTTAATTCTGTGTGTGGATTAAGTATGGTTATTGTTAGTACGTGTGGGAATTAAATATATGGTTAGGGTTAGTGTGGGTATTAATGATATGGTGAGGGTTAGCGTGGGAATAAAGTTTATGGTTAGGGTTAGTGTTGGAATTATGTTAAGTTTAGTTTGGGAATTAAGTTCATGGTTAGGGTTAATTTCGGAGTTAATTTTATGGTTAGGTTTAGTGTGGGAATTAAGTTTATGGTTAAGGTTAGTGTGTTAATTAAGGTTGGGTTAGGTAGAGCTATTACTAATAGTCTAGGGACAAAAAGAATTCACAATAGGACTATATACCTCTGATCCTGGAATATTAAAATTTAAAAAAAACTCAACTTTCTGAACATCTCTAAAGCGCCTGAGTATAGTTATAGTAGGCCTGCTGTAGGGGTGTTTTTTTTTTAGCTTTTTCAACGTTCGACTGCCGAGCCCTTTTCTTATAGAGGGAGAGTGTCCACCACTGTGAATTAATATGTTTATAAATGTAATTTCTGTTCTTTAGTATTCAAGTTTTCGTTCTTTATGTGACTAGAAATAGATAGCCAGGATATAGTTACTACACCTCCGCCAAACTGAACGCAGGGAGGAAGCAGTGAACTGAACCTAGAGCTTGAAACTTACCCCGAGCATGAAGAAAAAAGAATGGAAACGCCCGCCTTGCCCGAATTCTGTATTTATGCATAGGGTGGAGGTAGACACTGGAGCGACGCTCTAGCTCTCTTTATTAATGAGATAGATAATTTTGGTGCTCGTTCATATTCGTTCCTCACTTTTGTCCGTTTTTTGCTAAACGCATTCTTTATCTTCCCCTTTTTGTGTTTTCTTAAGTGTTTTTGTGTCTGTTCTTTCATGTCCGATTTATTTGATGATTATGACATACAAGGTTTAAATAATATAACTTTTAACCCCTTTTCGATTTATGACAAACATGATCGAGAGTTTGATCTTGACACTAATTTTTTTTAAAAATCTAATTTGGTCACTTGTAATTAATTACTACCAACTCAGTAAATTCGCAAATCTCATTAAAAACATTAATCTGGAGAATACGTTCTCATCTTTACACATCAATTCCCGTAGTCTAACTCATAATGATTCATTTAAACTACTGCTTACTACTCTAAATTATGATTTTGACGTCATTGGTGTTTCCGAAACCTGGTTAAAGTCCGATAATCCCATAGTCCATATTTCACGTTATTTATTTGTCTCGAACAACAGACTCGGACAGGCTGGCGGAGGTGTAGCTCTGTATATTCGGAATGGGCAATCTTTTAAAGAAAAAAACTAGCTTAACTATAAATCCTTCCTTAGGCGAATCCTTATTCATTGAAATTAAAAACTTGTATGGTAAAAATATTATTGTTGGTATAAAATCCTTTATTTGTGCTTTTGATCTTTTATTACATGACCTGTCTAAAGAAGACAAACAAGTTTATTTATTAGGTGATTTTAATATCGATTTACTTAAATATCAGACCAATGACAATATTTCTCAAAATGTTGTGAATTCTCTTTTCAGTAATTTTTTTATTCCCACAATTAATAGACCCACACGTATTACCCCAACCACAGCAACCATTCTGGATAATAAAATTTCCGACAAATACGGTATGAATCATCATTTACAGGCGTCTTATATAGTGATATCGGTGATCTGCCTATATTTAATTTTACTTCCTTGTGTACCAAACATCGTAACGACCCAACTAAATTATCTTATACACGCAGAAAAATTAATGGAACAACTACTACAAACTTTATTGAAGAACTTGAAGGTACTTTTTGGATTGACGTTTATCAAATAAATGATCCTCATACTGCTTTTGAATTATTTGAATCTGACTTCAAGCATTTATTTGATAAACATTTTCCATTTATGAGCAACCTCTTAAGAAGAAAAAACTGAAATCTTGGATGACCGATGGGATTCTTACTTCAATTAAACATAAAAATAAATTGTATGCTAAATCTCTCCATCACCCCTCTATCAAAAATATAAAAAAATTCAAACAATTCCGAAACAACCTAAATTCGATCATCCGTAAGCTAAGAGAGATTTTTACGAAGAACAATTCAATCAACAACAAAATAATACCAAAGGTACTTGGGAAAATTATTAATAACCTATTAAAAAAGAATGTAGGCAGGGATCAGGCTTGCAATATAATATGCGATGGGACACCATCCAATGATGCCTGTAAAATTGCCAACCACTTTAATAATGTTTTTGTTAATATTGACCCCACCATTTCAGGCAAGATCGACCTGACTGATACAAATTTCCAATCTTACCTTCCCCAACCATGCCTCAACTCTATATTTCTTAACCATGTATGCACCGAAGAAATCACTTCCATTGTTACAAATTTTGAAAATAGCAAAGCACATGGTATCGACGGTATAAATTCGTTCATTTTGAAAAAAATGTATCCATTTAATTTCTGAACCCCTCTCCTTTGTCTTTATTTGTTTGTCAAATGGTGTTTTTCCTGATAGCCTAAAATTGGCAATAGTACCCCCAATGTTTAAGTCCCGTGACAGATCAAATTCTACTAACTATCGCCCAATTTCAGTACCCTCTGTTTTTTTCTAAAATACTTGAACGACTTATCTATGACAGAACTTATAATTTTCTCTTTCAATTGGTATTTTTATTAACCCCTTTAAGGCTTTTGACACTATCAACCATGATATTTTACTTTCACATTATTGAATACGCGGCCCTGCATATAATATTTTCAAAAGCTATTTAACTAACCGTAAACAATGCACAAAATTTAATAAAACCTTGTCTAACTTTCTTGGTAATAATTACGAAATGTAAAAACCCTACCGTGATTAATCATTCAAGGGTAACTGGTCTACACCGTCTATTTGCTCTCTCCAATGTTGGTAGCATACACTCGCGAGATTTCTATAAATATAACTCTCCTAGACTGTGGAGATGACTAAATGTTCGATAAAATATGTTCCTCGTGAAAACGGCGATGCGCTAGAGCTAACCTGTTGTTCAAAATGATGGGCGAAAAGCGAAAAATGGCAAAATCCCAGAGAAAAGAACAGGGAAAATTAGGTCGATCTGATCGCTGTAAGCTGCGCGAACAAGATGGCGACGGCACTGAAAACACATGCCTGCTGTAAACGAGGGTGCATGGAACTAACAAAACCACTACAGTTTAACTTCACTCTGATTTTTAGGCCTTTTGCAGGCTCACAGATCTATCGGGATTCACAGATGGTTGCGTGAACTTGTCAAAATAAAAAGACTTGCAGAAAAAAGAAAAACGCGTGCAAGATCGGCTTTCAGCTAGATGTTTTTATGGGAGAATCCTGCTGATCAAAGGTCCCCTAGATCGGATAAAATAATAGTATTTGCTGCAGGAAAACATTTAGTATAAATCAGAACATCCGATGGCCGCAGGCACAAAATCTTTCGTGTCGGAGAGAAGCGTTACTCTGCCACAACTCTAACAGTAGAATGTCTCCGAGTTTTCTGGCCTAATAATACCGGAAAATAGAGTGTAAATAATATTGCAGTCCAACTTTTGATGGCCCATCATTTTCGCCTGGCCCACAAGGCTTGTGCCTTATTTGCCTAATGGTTAATCCGGCACTGGATTGGCCCCCTTTTGTTTTTGCTTTACATCAGCGATATTTGCAAATCTTCCAAATTATTTTCTTTTCATTTATATGCAGATGATACTACCCTTCTCAATTCGGCTATTGGTATCGACTCCCTTTTTAAAATTTCCAATGATAATTTACCTAATGTTCTCAAATATTTCTCTGCTAATAAACTCTCTGTCAATTTGAAAAGGTGCAATTGCATTATCTTTCAAAATGTCCATAGACCACTTGATAATTACATAAATCAACTCAAAATTAATAATCAGGTAATCCCCTCGTTAATGAAACTAAATTTTTAGGTGTTGTTATTGATAGCCGTTTAAGTTAGAAAAACACATATCTGAAGTTGAAAATAAAATTGCCAAAAGTATCGGCATTATTTACAGGTTATCCTCTTTTGTTCCCCAAAATATTCTCCGTGTTTTATACTGTTCTTTGATCCTTCCCTACCTGAATTGTTGCAACTTGGTCTGGTCCAACACTTACCCTTCCCACCTTAATAAACCCCTTCAGAAGAAAGCCGTTCGAATTGTGTCGGGTGCACCTTCGCGAGCCCACACCGATTCATTATTTTCCTCTCTTTGTCTTCTAAAAATTCATGTCATCAATCGTCTTCATCAATGCGCTTTTATTTTTTAATGGATAAATTTCTCTCTCTGCCCCCCCCCCCTCAATTTAAATCATTACTTAATTTTAATTTTGATTATCATAGTCATTTTACCTATGCAACAATCTCCCTCACTTCATTTATAATTCCTACTCAAAAAAACTTATGTTCAAGACTGAAAAAAACATCTCTTATCAAGTTATGCAAAATTTTCTCCTTTTACCCATTCTCGATCTCCATTACCAACCCGTTACATTTTGTTTTTGTCCCAAAATTATAAAAGAAAAAAAAACGCATTTCTGAGCATCCTCGTGTCTGTCTTGTCTCCTGTTGTCCTGTCCTACCGAAGTTGTCCTGTCCTATCCCCTGTTGTCCTGTTCTGTTCTGCTTTGGCTTTGGTTTTTCTGTGTGCCCTCAACCAAATCGGTAAAAACCAATTCGGCCCAAACCAACTCGGACCAAAACCAACTCGGCCCCAGACGACACTTCACTTCAAAACCAACTTGGCCCAGACGACAAACTACCCAAATGATACGGAATTACCCAGATGAATAGCGATCGCGATTACCCAAAGACAATTATTTTTATTATTTTAGTATTATTATAATTATTAATATTATTTAGGTCTACGTCTAATATTATCTTTATTATTTATTTTTATATTATCCAAATTACATATTTTATAATTATTACAATATTATTCTATTTATTAAGAAAAAGAGTGTAAGTCACCTTTCAGAGTTGTAGTTTAGTTTCTGGGAGCTTTCGATAACATCTCGTCATCTTCGTCAGCCGTTTGAATCTGGAGGTTAACTGACACCTCAGCATTAATGTTCGTGTGATGATGTAGCAGGCTATTGTATATGGGTGGTAGCTCATATCCGCAATCTCGGTTTAATGGTGGCGTTCTCATTTTAATTTCTATAGCTAGCTTTTTTTATTTATTGTTATTATTTTAATTTTTAGTATATTATAGTATATATTATAATTATTAATATCATCAAGGACTTTTTTCTGTTACCAGGATAGGAAGCTGGCTGGTTTAAAGCCGTCTAACTTGAATTAGCCTTATGTGCAGTATCGTTAATGAGCCAGATAAGCACAATCTGCACATGCTCAGAAAAACAAAACTTTAGTAAGCCACACTGCGTATCGGGTATAACCTATGTTGTTATTGTATCATTATCATTGTAAAGATAATAGTTGCAATGTAGGCCTATATTATAACTTAATAAATATAAATTTATTAATTTTATATTTAAAATTAGCACACCATTTGTATATATATTTTTCTACACGTTATTGTTAATTAACAAGTTATCAATGAACTTTGAAATTGAAATTATGTTTTGTCTATTTTTATTATTAGTCGATAATGATTTAATTATTATGATATTCTAATTATTAATTGATAATGATGATGATTATGATGATGATGATGATGATGATGGTGATGATGGTGATGATGGTGATGATGATGATGATGATGTTAATGATGCGGATGATGATGATTAGGAGGACGAAGAGATTTTAAAATATGACATGGTTACCGAACCATAAATAAAATAAGTTTAAAATATTTTCACTCTATCCTACCTCACCCCTCCTCCTCACAACACCGGCTCCTTTCCCCTCCCCGCACCGCATTTTCCTCATGTACACAATTAAATTCCGCATTTTATAATGTCAGAGTATATACTAGCCTTCAATTATTACACTAACCTTTGGATTTCATACATATGCTTCGGTTTTTAAAAATTAAATAGAAGATTTTGCGGTTTTAACTATTTTAATATTTTTAAATACTAGTTTTCACTTTTTTGGAGCAAGAATTTTATAAAATATATGTCATAAATCTATAGATTAAATTTCATATACATATATTTCAATAAATTAATTATTAATGCATGTTTTTAAAAAGTTTTACAGATAATGCCCGATTTCAAAAGAATTTATCTACATTCATAGTTATAAATACTCTGAAAAAAGGCATTATCTCCATTTTGGCCCCCTTAATAATAAAATTAATCAATGAAAAGTATGTGGCAAATGTTTTAATAATATACCTAAGCAAACCATAGTTTTTTTTAAAAATGAAATCATTTGTACTTTTCTTGGGAAAAACTCAAACGCGTTTTGCTCATTTACTCAAAACTATGATTTTGTTACTTAATGCCTTTTCTCAGAGCAGGGCATCAAGATATTTCCATGGATCAATCATTAACATGTAAATTACTGTACTTTATTAAAAATAGTGTTGTTTGTTTGTCTAATGTTTTAAATTATTATAGTTCGTATGACTAAACTAGGGGCCTAGGTCGCGCCAGGCAGTAGAGTACCGTAGTGTTCCGTAACAGCGTATTCTCTACAGTCTGAACTACGCTAGGCTATGCCTACACAGGTAAGACATAGTTGGTAACAAACCTTTTTATTTAACGCCACTTCTAAGTCATCACCACTTCAAAGACTTCCTTATCCAAACCAACAAATAGATCTTTTTGAAAAAATCATTCTTCAAAAATGTAATCGACTTATTATATTATTATTATTTAATGTTTCCGCCATAGTCCCAATATTTCAATTTTCCGCTCGCGACGCGAAGAATTTTCCCATCATCAGTTGGCTTTGTCGTTACCAGCTCGTTACGGTTGAGTGAATCAGCCGACTCCTGTCTAGTGCAAAATTCCCGAAATAAAAACTGGGGCAAACTGTTATTTTATACACAATTGAGACATTTTCATAAGTGAAAATCCATATAAATGAAAAGAAAGGCCAAATTTACGTTGACATGATTGTTTTTATGGGGTTACCGAATGCAAGCCTTTGAAAGTCGGTCCAGGAAATTCCCTATCTTTTAACACTAGCTCAAAATCCTGTAGC